ATCCGATTTGCACACCGTGCCGGGTCTCTTCCGCTCTTTTTCAAACGCGTGCCCGGCCGCTGCTCTATACACGCCCGGGACGATACGACAGACACGGCTTGGTAGTTTTCATGGAAATTCGTTTGCTGCTTGTTACGTGACACGGACGTTTTCCTTTGCTAGATTTTTCCTTAATATATCGCGACGGACAACTATCCGAATGATTATAGCCGCTTCCCGTGAAAAGTTCACTGAGTACTCGGAGAAAAACAGCAAAGCTTTTATAGTTAGATATTCTTATGGTTATCGGTACTTGAGTTGGAATAGGTTAATAACACTTTGTATAATTAAATGTAATGATTATGATTACTACCATGATTATAGTAACGGTTATGGCGATTCATAACTATCGTTCTAGAATCACAAATTATCAGCCAGCTCGTCGGATGTAACGTTAATAACAATTCAATACTTTTATTTTTAAAGGTGTTATGTATGACGTGACATTCTGAATATTTGAAAATAGAAAAATTAAAATTAGAACATTTGATATTTAGTAGTTTTATGAACGTTTGTCAAATGAAACATATTTAAAACTATCGATCGAAAATCGATACCACCTGCAGGACGCATTTGAAAAAAAAAAAAAAAAAAACTGGAACCGGCGCGCATCGGAGCGATTATTTGCGCCGCGCGACGATAATGGATACGGAAAGGCGGTTTGAATCCGGCCGAATGGGCGTATGAATGGTCACCGTTTAGCGTAATTATTGGCACATTGTCTACGGCACAATACCGGGTGCGAAATTGGCATGCAAAAATCGGATGCGATCCTATTGTCCACCATTGTACGATTCATGGCTGCGTGGCAGCTTCCCCGAGCTCTCTAGTTTTCGAATATCTCGTCGCCAATACTACCGATTCGTTCGCCAATCGAATTTAGTTCAAACGTCATCGAAAGAAATTTGCGTTTCGCCTATTACGTGGTTTTGCAACTTTTTTTTTTATATTGCGACACTGCAATCATTCGGTCATTCAACTACCAAAGGGATAAGAACAAATGACAATTAGTAGAAACAATTTGCTTAGGGCAATTGACCCTTTTCCTAAAAAAAGTAGAAAATGTTGCGTTTTTTACGTAATAAACTATAATTCTATTCGGAAGAAAATGTATTCGAGTGCATTATTTGTATTATATTTCTTACTTTTTTTAGGAAAAGGTGCCTGTTTTGAGAATATAATATTAATTTCCGATTTGTTCCCTAACAAAGCTTCTCCATACAAGCTAGTTTTCGTTGTACTTTCTTTGATCTGGCCGCTCCTCAATGGAAACAGGTGACTTGTATTATACATATTGGAGCATCTAGAGGAGGGCAATCCCTAAGAGCAACGAGATACATTGTACCCCAAACAAACGTAGACGGTATGTTGTTTGAGATGTTTAAGCAAGTGACATGATACACCATCTTAAGCAGGTGGCACAATATGACAAATGTCAAACGTCCCACACGCGCTGTTCAACCTGCTTAAGCATTTCAAGTGCACACCGTCTTTGTTCGATTCTCCTGGTTGCCTCGAAGCCTGTTCCTGTTTTAGAGAAACAATCAATATATTATGACTAGTTTGCGTGCAACCAAATTTTCCAATATGCATATACATTAATAATAGGGCCTTCTTTCTCTAGATTCCTTAAGAAAATCTATGATATTTAGCACTGTACGCGTTATATATTAGAAAAATTCATTCTAAAATTAAACATAATCTTGCTATTCACTGCGACTATCACGTCATCTTCTATCCAGGAATTAAGTGCATTACGGTATCAACGCTAATGCGAAAATAAACGTGGCATGAACATCCTTCAGTGATTAAGCGTTTCCCATAAATTAACAGCGACTCACATTTTCATCCCATTTTCTACAGTTTTAAGTAGTACGTGCCGATCTCTGGCAACGATGACATCGATGCCATTGTTTCGAGGTGAAAGTTCACGATCGTTTGTAATTGTATTGCGGACGCGGTCTCGCCAAGGAGAATTCTAAGCCAAGCAAACCGAAAACTAAATTTCTAGAGACTAGAAAGGTTGGCCCAAGAATTTGGTTGGTTATTAAGTAAAGGACGTCTGCACGATTCTAACTCCTCCGAACGGAAGAACCGCGGGCTTTTTGTGCGGTCAGATTGGCGGCCATTATGTCCCGAAATTGGGCCTTAATTGTGTCAGCGGTAATGAGTCGGGTTGCTCTAATGCAACGGCACCAATCACCACCACATATAGTATCTTAAAACATAGCTTCGGTGTATTCTAACGGGTGCTCTGTTCATAAAAGTTTCACCATTCAAGATGATTAGAAAGTATGTTATATCTTTCATTACTAAATCTCATTATGCGTTCTTGAAAACGTGTCACTATTGTTTCTTTATTAAAAATATGAAAAATTTACTGTAAGATTAAACGTAGAAATCGAGAAAGGATTGAATATTATCATTATCAACCCTCGAATGGCGGAGCTAAATCTTTACTGATTGAAGCTATAATTTATAGTCCATATTTTGGAATTTTATAGCATTTGTTTAGATAACATATGGCACTATTTTATTTGAAAATTTGAAGTCTTGTAAGCCTAGGTTACGATTGACCCGACTATCACTGTTGAAGGGTTATTTCGGTGAGGGCACCCGGTATAGAATAGAGAGTAGTAGGGAATACTATGTGGCGACGTAGCATTATTTAATTGCTCTTCCGTTGTTTCGTCGTCGCCAGATAATTTGTGTACCTGGCGGCGATTTTAGTTCCTCCTCTATTTCCCCTGCTCTTCTGACCGTGACCAGGCTCTCTCTTCGTCTCCTTGCGATCATCTCTATCCCTCTGAAGGTCTTGACCGCTTCAGGTGTCTCGCTTCCACCGATCTATCGTTTCGATGTGTAAGTTTCCTCGTTGCGAGTGGCCGGCACAAGGGAAAGCAAAAGAGCAAAGCTAGCGAGAGAAAGGACGAGAAGGATAGGACGACCGGTCGGCCTACTCCTAATTGCGCGTAATTACCTATGGAGGCCAATTAGCTCGGATTGGTTGGACGGATGATCCGCGACTAGCCTACGGACTCAAACTCCGTCAGAACCTCTAGCCTCCTTCGGTAAACTCACGCGAAAGTGACTAGGAATCGTCCTCGCTTCCAGAATCTTTACTTCTACCTTTCATTTTCCTATATGCAAAATGCGAGGAGCAATTACCATAATCAATCATGCGAGGTCTTGCGGGGAAATAACTTGGAATTGAAGTGTAGCATCGGTACTAGTAATTAGAAAGGTACCATTTTAAATTACCAAGTATGCGATAACCTTTCAAGAAGCTATCGAATTCGATTTACTTTTTGGAAAAAGGAATTAATATTTATAGATAATCGATGAAATGTTAAGCTAAACAATTCTGAAATTCTTTTACTCTTGGATGTATGAATATTGGAATGCTACCGATGAATATTATAACTATGTAGCTGAGCTTATAACTGTAAAAATGTTATTAATTTTATAGAAATAAATAAGTTCGAACAACTCGTTAAACCAGCCGCGTAAATACCTACGAACCAGACCACAGGGAAGAAGTTTCTTAATCTTCTGATTCTCGAGATTGTAATATTAGCAGGATCTCTGATCGTAATGTTCCCACGTTCCGGTTGCCTTTTTCTCTTCATATCACAGAACAACTTAATGGCGGTATCGATGTTTTGTGCGTTTCAATGTTACGAACCGTTTACCGCGGTGATGCACTGTAATTACGTGCCTCTAATTACGCGCGCAACACTGTCCCCTCTAGTTTATTTGTTGTGCCGTTTCCCAGAGCATCGGGACTTATACACCTCAGGCGTTTGCAGCTCGAACTCGGATCATAAATAATCGCACGCACATTCAGACCCGTGCAGGCATATACCCTAATGAGCAATTAACAGTTGAGTTTAACTTTAAGCTATCTAGGATCTTATTTCTTAGATGTTGAATAGCCACGATTTACTTGTCCTATTGTTTCTATTTGGATTTCGAGAACAAGAATAGATTTAATTAATTAATATCATTTCTCAATGTCAAACTTAGATGCAAAGTGTAATTTAGTCTTAACGAGTTATGTTTGTACACGATTATGTAATTTATGAACTTTACGTTTATTGTGCTATAAAAATAATTTATGTGTTCACATACTATTCTACTATCAAAGAATTTCCAAAGTTAGCAGTTAATTATTTCAAGAAGGGTTGTACAGATGTTCCCATAATGTTTAGAACAATTTTCTTTGTTATTATTTTATAGGTAATAAAATGTTTCGTAAGGAATTTGTACAACTGCATGAGTAAAGAAAAGTTAGGTTAGATTGACCCAACTGACCGTAAGAGCTATTAAGGTTTGTTAGATATTTAAAAAATATGAAAAAGTTAGAGAAAAAACATTTTGTGATAATTGATACAAAATCATGTAAGTAAATTACTAACAATTGAAGAATTTTAACTTATACTATAATCTGTTTGAACAGTCTCGTCCATCTTTTATATTTTACGTTAGTAGAATATAAATGAGTTAGAAATATATTGGTGAAATAAAAACCATATTTGAAATTAACAAAACTATCCCCGCTGTTAAAATTGAAGAGATGTTAAATTTTAAGAGAAAACGCAGAGTAGCGTAATAATTTTGTTTCTGAAAAATGCTCCGTTCAGAATCTGTTTCATACTCAACATGTTGCGCATTTGCACATACATTTATGTATGTACGCAGGAAAAAATTAAAATATACAGTGGCGAATTATGGAGAATGGAAGTAATGAGATTACCAATTGTATCAGACGAATGATTTAAAGAATACTCTTTAAATCGTTTGAAAAAATAGAATCCGCGTATTTTTGTAATACATCATTCAGAATATGTGACATGACCATAACCTCACAATAGTATTATTGCGTATTTCGTTTGAACATTTGCATATAATTATATCTTGAATTATTAAAAAGTATTAGGGTACAATATTAAATAACTCACCATCAGAAGATTGTGACATATTTAAGCAGAGCAGCAAGTTTTTCACTGTTTATAACTCACAATAAACGACAAGACAAGATAGGACGCGCACTAATACACACTATAAACATTACCGTGCCTGCCTCTCCCCGCCCGCGAACAGTTGTGTTCGTCGGCCGGATTGGACGGACAGTGGCGTTAACTAGTTCAAACATTTTGATCGAATATAATAAAATTCCAGATGATAGTTAACTTCTGGAGAGACAAAAATTCCAGAATCCTTGTTCGTTCAGAGTACTGCTCTGCTGAAGGCCCACTTGACCCGCAAGAAAATGCTTCAAATATTCATGTCAAGCGATGTACATACGTGAAATAATACGTTTCTCTCGAAAGTAGGGAAAGCATATATTTATCTGGTCTTTTCATAAGCCGATTCAACTGTTGTTCCGTATCCACTTTTCAAGATTCGAATCCTCAGGGACTCGAAACGTAAAGCCGAAACGGATGCGAAGATGGAAGAAGGATAGAGGAACATGCGAAAAGAGAAAATTGTCGGAGCGAGGGTGAGAAGAGGAGAGGTGGCTTCCATCGAAGGACCTCGGCAACAGGACAATTCGTCATTAGTAAACAAATAGTTTAGCGACCGGTCGGGTCAGACCTACATAAACTAAACAACAATGAGGCCCAGGATAGAAAGAAATACCGACTCGCTACCCTTCGAGGTTCGCACACCTGGCTTCACCTTCGTAGGAGTTTACCTGCACGAGTGGGTGCAGAAGAGATCAGGGCCGTACGTATTCGGCCCACAATCACGATACCACCACCAATCACATTTCTTTACAAAAATTTGTGTTTCAAACTTAATTATCTCTTGTGATCTACCCCCACTCTGTATTATCATCATTTCTTATAAAAAATAAATTCAGAAATCACCAAATTTTCTTTCTTTTCTTCTGCAGCTTTGTTAGGGAACAAATCGGAAATCTCTGCCAATGCTTTACACCCTTTTTAATTTGTTGGAATTTTTAGGATCAAACGAATAAAGTAACATGTATTTAAAAAAGTATCATACTCTTCTTAAGGAATGTTGTGTGGGGGGTATCTTGGAATGTAAACACGTTCCTGATCGTTTGGAGATTCTACTTCGACGAATATCTCCTCACCTGACCGAAACTGATCGGTGTTAAAAAGAATTTCTCGCATTCATTTGTCACCTCAAATTTCAGGATACGAATCACGCCAGGGACATCTTCGAAACTGTAGAAAAGAAAAGGGCGTAACCAAGCTGCAACGTGGTTTAATCTAGAGATGGTAGAGTAGAAAGTCTTTCATTTGGAAATTTAGTTGTCTAATCTTAATCGATGTACATATTTTGCAGATGACATTTATCTCAAATTTTTATCTTGTCGATTATAATTTATTTCTGCCCAATTCTGATCTGGAGACAAAGTTTGGATGTATTTGTAGTATTTTTAACAGGAAACCAAGACACGTCCCTGCTTTTGTTTGGTCCGAACAAGGCGAAGCCTGGTTCTCGCCAGTACTCAGCCAATGGAGAGTATTTGTTCAGAAGATTCCTATCGACCCCATGTAACCACACATTTCACGAAAGCTACACTGAATTACCGATCACTGTTTCCTTCCTCTAATCGCACCCATACATTGCTCTGTTTTTAATCCTTCAAGCAATTACGACGTTTGTAGAATCGGCTGTGATCCTGCGAAGATACTTGAAACAATTAGCTGAAGAAATTCCTCTATATATCTTTGTGATAAACTGAAACTTTGGTCAATTAAACCGAAATTGTAATCTTGATAAAAAGTGATAGAAACAGCAACTACATTCAAAATATATATTAAAAAAAACACAAGTTTTCTATTGAATATACCAGCAGTACGTAATAAATCCAATCATCATCATCTTCAATCTTCCAATCGGAAGTGACACATTAAACATTAATTGTCACTTTCACTAACGTCACCTTTCAAATTACAACTTTCTCATTTAGCTAGTGTAGGATATAAAATAATAAAAATCAGTCTTTGAGCAAAGGCATCCAGATCGAAGGAACGCTGGTCTCTTTGTCCATCTAAGATCCTTGGCCCTTTATTCCGAGTGAACCATAGGGCGAGGAGCATCTCGATGATCCCCATGGCAAGATTAGTATGACAATGCGTTCACCGGTCACTCATTATGCTTGCCCGCGATCCAACGTTCCGTTGTAACGTAAAACAAAATTCCAACCCACGAAAAATCTTAGTGGACAGGGGTTGACACCTTCCTCGATTCAACTGTTCTTCGAGACGTGTCCTCTGTTCTCGAGCCTTTCGTCTCATTTTTACCCCACCTTTCTCTTCTCTTTTCTCTATCTCCACTCTTTATTACTGCCGACATCATCCCTTGTCCACCCTCTTCCAGGACAGCCTAACCTTCTCCCACGGCTCATTCTTTTCGCTGAATGAATACCAAAGATGGATTGCTTTCCTCTTTACACAGCCTCGGTGTCCCGCTTTGTTGTCCAGAAATCGTGCGATTTCCAATGAATTCACGCGTTTTAAAGAGCCGGGATACGTGTACACACCGACTTTGCCTCGATCGCGTCATCGACAGTTCTTCATGGAGATTATTATCGTCATTCAGGGACTCGATCTATTCCCCCTGGAACAGTGGTCTTTGCAAAATTTCAACGTCGCGATTCAGCTCGGCGTACCGTGGCGTGAAATGATAATTTTAATAAATGATGTCTGCTTTCTTTAAAATCTGAGATCCAAACTGTCCCCGGGACAGTTTGCGGATATAGCTTGTAAGAAACGAGAGAAATTAAAAATTTTTTTAAATACAATTTTATTTTTCTGTACATGATGCTGTATTTGCATTGTAAATTTATTTAAGATCTATTTGATGCATTTTCAAGACTGTGAAATCCTTTCGTATTTCGACGAGTTCGGTCCTGTAGTTTCGTGCATTTGCACATGGTCCGTTTCAATACGGATTGAAAAGAGAAGAGAAATGGAGAAAAACAGAATTTTCTATTTGGAACCGGAGACACGGCAAATATCTATGGTCTCGTTCCATTACATTTGCATTCGTGTCGGATTCGAGCGTCACAAAGTTCACTCTCGGGAGCATGAACAGTGAAAATCCAGTGGAATCTCAAATTACGATGATTCGACGAGCAGCGAAGCTCACCGCAGGTGTCTAGGAAAAGTGCATAAAGGGGATGTAGATAAAACGATACAAAAGAGAAGCTCGATATTCACGGGAGGAAAGGAAGCATAATGCAGATCCCAAATTTTCGGAAAACTCCCAAGCTAATCGACAAGAACGACACAATCGCCTTTACCTGATGGACGTTCCCTTTTTGGCCACCGTGAGAAACAGTATTCGAACTGTTCTGAAGGACCGAAAGGGAATAAGAGAAGCGTTCCAGAACGAGAGAAAACATCTCAGGGGGCTTCTGTCCCCCGGAAGAATTAATTGATGAGAGAAGGGACAACGTTAGAATGCATATTCACACGAAGGAATTTCTTTTTCCTGATTTTTCATTTCACAATTTTTGAATAGCATTTTGCTGTGTCAAAATTTTTAAACAAAACTCTACTATTGAACTGTTATTAAAATAATGGGAGTAATAACAATTCGTTATATTTAATATTAAAAACAATACGGAGATAAATTTTGCGAGACAGAAAGCAAGTTTTAATAATTATCTTGATAAGAAAATATTTCTTTATCTGAAGAATATTTTCATTTTAATGGAAAGACAAGGGTTTATGGTGGTTATAATTTAAATTGCTAATAAACGAAGATTTTTAAAGAATTTCATAAGGATACTTAGTACAAAGAAGAATCTTCAATCTGGTAGCGTCTTTAACAAGCCATTTGCTTCAATCCGCAATCTAAAATCAAGAGTATCTCCTCAGAGTGTCCAAGAAGATTCTTGGAAGTACCTTCGAGAACTTACCAATCCTTCATTCATTAAAAGACGATACAAAACCTTTCCCTTTTGCATTTATAAGTATCAATTTGTCAAACTAATATCATTTTAAGATACCATCAAAGGTAACTTAAAAATGTCCTTTTTGTATTTAACAAAATATATTTCAAAAAGATTTTCCCATCATTTGCATAAAATATAAGTATTGGTTATCGGATCCTTAGATGCTATTCAAAATTGCAACATAATTTTTCAAATTGAGAACGTTAACGATTTCAAACAAACATTGGACCAGTTTGTACATCTTCCATCCTGTCTTCTTCAATTCGTATTTCCATGACAATAGAACACTCGCAAGAAGAATAATTAAGCTGGTCGTAATCGTTTGGTACGACCTATGGTCAACGCGATGCATCAGTGCCCGGTCCCATTGATGCGGCACCATAGGAACTCCCATCAGCTGCCACGGTTTCTTCTTAAGTCTTTCAGTACCGAGGGGACATTAAAAGAAGGGTCTCAGGAGGGTGGCGAATTAATTTATGCAATAATGTACCGACATCGTACCGAGTCTCATTCTTTTGACCAGGTGATGACCAGTCGTGGACAACTACGTCTAACGCCGATCTCTCCTTCTTTTTCATCGTCCCTCTTTGCTCCTGGAGCGTGTGAAAATTCACATAGCCCTTTGTCTTCGTATTTTTCGTTCCCTAGATAGGCTTTACTTAACCTTCGATTGCCCTCCTGCGTTATTTGCCTGGGCTCCATCGTTGTACTTGGTAAATATCGTTGTTATAAATATGCAAAATAGAAAAGGAAGGTATAGGAACATTTGAGGAAGCAAGAAGGAGAAAAATAACAAGGAAATCGAAGTAAACAGGAATGTTTTGGAAAAAATAAACCGACTAATATTATGGAAACCCTTTATCCAATTAACCGTGAAAGAGGATTGTTCTGATTTTAAAAACGTTGATGTCTGCTCAGTTATCTGGATCGATTAAGAACCAAGCAGTGAAATAAAAGGATTTTTCTTTACATATAAGATTCTTTGTTGTAAGTGGTAGTTCACTTGTAATAAAATATTGCAAAAACATCCAGTGTGATAATAATGGTAACAAAAATGAACCATGAAATTATTTCAGCAAGAAATCTAATAATTTAACTGCTTGTCCTTTGTATTCTTACAAATACCGCAATTTTGAAAGTAAACTACGACTCG